CTCACCATGCTGGCCCACAGAAGCCAGGGTCTGTCTGAGCTGCTCAGTGTCAGGTTCATCTCTTGCAATGGGGGGGGGCCACATCCACAACACAAAACTAGCAAACCCTGCAAATCAGTGCACGCCCTCCTGCCCGAGAGCTGCTCGGACCCCAGAGACCCAGCGGGCGAGCACTGCCCAGCACTGGGACTTTTCCTCTTCAGATGAAGACTTTTCAAGATGCACGATACACAGATAAAGTGGATGGGTTAGGGTGGCACTGCAGCCAGCTGCCCAATGTCACCACCTCCTCATTCTCCCGGAGGCACAGTTATGGGTGATCCCGAGGACACGGTCTGAGCAGCCCTGAGTCCATGTTGGCCATGCTCCCTGGCTTCCTGTTGTGGAGAAGCTGATTTGAAATCATTCCTTAGGCTTTAAGGCCCACAACAAGGTAATCTGGCGTGGGTAGAGGGTGCAGGCTGATCCAAGGGTCCATGAGAGGCAATCGTGATAGTGGTCACAAGCCAGCAAGGAGTGTGAAGCTAAAAACAGGCACAGCAGGAGTCCAAGGGTCACCAGCTGCCAGAAGTGGTGTAGCAGGTGAGGGAGAAGAAGGAAGCAGCGAGGTCTAAGGCACCGGCTGCCAGCGAAGGGGTTGGCATGGGTGTGGCAGCAGGATCCTGGGGACATCCACCAGCATGGGAAATCGAGGACAGGGAGGTGCTGGCCCCCTGGGGAGGATTTGCCTCGGCTGATCGGGAATCCACAACACGACAGGCAACTCAGTACCACCCTGCAGACACGCACAGCAATGCATGTGCCATTATGGGTTGCTTCTCTACAGAGCAGGAGCTTTCCCAGCCATCGGTGTCCCCGCCGCGTGTGTGAGAAGCCAGCCCTCCTGGGGACCATCTGCTGTGAACCCACCTCCAGGCCTTGGGAGCAGATGCACGGCTGACTCCAGGCTGTGTCTGGCCCTGGGCTCCGCCCTGGCCCACACTGTCCGTGCTCCGAGGACACTGGCTGGAGTGTGTGAAATGTCCCTGGCACCTCTGAGACAGATGCCAGGCTTCAGTTCAGTGATTCCAGATTCCAACTCGCAGAGCTTCTTGGGCTCACTCTTTTCAGAGACCCTTTTCTCCAGCTCCTTTGAAATGAACCCCACTACAGGTGTTCCAGACAGTGAGGCATCCCTCGGATGCCCGACTTAGTCACCACCCCGCACGGGGCATTGGAGACAGTGCTGCCCCACTCTCTGGTGCCAGAAGCTGCCGTCGCAGTGCCCAGCAGCTGAGACCTCAGGGCAGCTGCAGGAGGCGCCCTGGGTCCAGCACTGCCCCACCCGGCCAGCACTTGGCAAGCTGAGACACAACTGTTTATTACGTCCAGCCACCAGCTTAGGGCCCCGCCTGTCACTTAGCACAACTCGGCCTATCCAGACCGGTGCACAGACAGACACGAGCACACAGAGCCGACCCGCGAACCAGCTTGCTCGACACACAGTGGATATTCTCCATCAGGTGGAGACGGGCAGTACAAATTTTCCAACAAGAGGAAAATAAATTCATTGTTAAAACAAAACTAATCACCACTTTCCCATCCAATGCCCTATAGTTGTGCTTGTATGGGACAGATCTGGTGACAGGAAAACCTTCATACATCACTATTCCTCCATTCCGTGCCCAAAGCATCACACAATTCTGGAGATTTAAAATGTCTTTCTAGAACTTTCGACAAATTGGCAGTGAATTTCTATAGCAGAAACATCGTCCATCACAACATGTACCCTGTCTGGGGGCCACCTGTTAACCATTTGTGATTAGAGGACACAAAGTCAGAGACAATCCTGGCCAGACTGTGTTAGAACATGGCCACGCGTGTTTAACAAACACCCTGCTCCCATGGCTATCCTCTGCCAAAAGACCAGAAGTTAACCCTGCAAAGTTTTGAAGACCCCAGGGCCTTTGTATATACTGTTCCTTCTGCCTGGAATGCCCATTCTTTAGATGACTAGTTCCTTACCATCAGATCTATGCCTGAAGTTCACCTCCTCAAAGACACCTTCTCCAGCTACTCTTTCTGCAGGAGGTACCCGCTCTTCTCTATCTTTGCACCCCACCTATCTCCTTCACAGCACTTAGTGTACATGATTTGGAGAGGTTTCATTTACTTATTTATTGCCCAGTTCTCCCACCAGGACCAAGTACCCATGAAATCCACCCTACCTTCACATTTCCAGGTATATGAGCTCATAAAGCTCCTGTAGTGCGTAAATAAATTCCAGCTGGCTTCACAGTAGACTCTTCTTAACAAGTATGTTTCCTCTCTATAGAATTACCACTGCTATCTTCACTGAGATCATGTGCATTAGTTAAAAATGTGCTGCGTACCAGGCTCTGGGTTAGTTTATTTCATGTAATCTTCATAATAACTCTAAAGTTGGAGATGATGTAATGTAGATGAGGAAATGGAACCTAAAAGGAGGTGATTAACACAGGCTCCTTCTTATTTACTCTGTGCCTTCCACAGGCTTGGTACTGAGGAGCCCTCACTCCAGGGAACACAAGGGTGGTCATGTGATCCAAATGGGCCAATCGGAGTGCCTCTCCATCCGGAAGCTGGATCAGAGGAGCCACATGACCCAGGCAAAGCCAATCAAAGTTCTGCCTTGTTACATAACTGCTAGAACAGTAAGAACCCCCATTCCAGGATGACATACTAGCAGAACCGCACAACCCTGGCACTGCCCAGAACGATCTTGCCACATGGAGAAATCCTGCCTAAGACAGAAGCCAGTGCTTCTGCATCAGAAGCCTTGAGCCTCTACACCCAGTTGGGCCTGAAACAAACTCCTTGGACTTCTGGGTTTTCGAAGCACTAAACTTGTCTTGTGACGTAACATGGACTGAGTGAGTCTCTGCCACTTGCCACCAGGTAAGGATGCAGTGAGCATCGTGTACAGGTGCAATTAACCTCAAAGTGACCACTGCCCACGAACGCCACCACCAGCTGACGTGTCAGCAGCCACCACCGTGGCCACCCCACTTCCCCTCGGCCTTTATAGTCATAGCTGGCCCAGCCTGGGCCACAGTGCTATTTATCCCCTCCATCTGCTAGCAGAGCGACATCTTCCAAAGGCCTCATTGCTAAGTGAACTTCTACTTGGCCCCCTGCTCACAGAGCTCTGAGAGCGCTGGTGGCCACCCACTTACTAATGACACAGGGACTGCGGGATGAACTTAGGGCCCTCAGGCCAGCCACGGGGCCTTCAAATACCCGAATTCAAAAGCCCCATGAGCACCGTAAAGAAGCAACCACTGTCTCACACTACACAGAGGTTCGCACTCCAGGTAAAGTGGGGGGGATTCTCATCCCTTGCTCACAGCCCTGTGAGAGATGGGGAGATGGCAGTGAGTTGGAGCCATCACCCGGCTCAGGAAACTGAGCTCTGAGCTGAGATGTTTGACTCCGTGAGGATCGTCATGTCCAGACTGGAACTGGAATTCATTCCGCGCATCCCAGCCTGAGAGGTATCGATAGGCTCCACGCCACATGCAGCCCGGTGAGCGTCCATTCCCCAGCCTTTATGCTCCCCAACTCCTGGTCCATTCAGCCAGGTGAGCCCCATCAGATGAGCCGCCCAGGTAAAATACGGGACACTTATGCCGGAACTTCACATAAAGAGATTTTTTTTAAAGCATAAGCATGACCCAAATAATGCACAGAACAAAAAAATAGTCGTTGTTCATGCAGAGTTCAAAATTAACTGGGCATTCTTTGGGCTTATTTACTAAAAGTGGCATCTGAGGTTCTATCAGTAGTTCAGAAAGAGGTATAAATTGTCCATTCTTGGCAAATTCAGACCCCTCTTCCATGGACCCCACACGCTCTTAGCTGTGGGGTTAACTCTAATGTACGACAGCTACCGAGCAGGCTTTGATGTCTCCTGTATTGTGCCGGGATGCAGGCACACCCCAGGTTTACCCTATTGCTCACCCTTCTTTAAAGAGCTTTCCATGGACTCGCTTTATACAAGGAGTGAAAGCAAAATGGCATTCAAGAGGGCAGAGCAGCGGCCTCCTGCTCAGAAATGATGGCCACTGGTCTTGACGCCCACCCACCAGATTGCCAGCCCGTCTGCCCTTGGGAAAGAAAGCAGCTGGTGGCACGAGGGGGCAGGCAGGAAAGAAAGAGCATGGCCGGGTGTGGGCACGGGGGCGTCCCCAGCCCTGAGTGGGGGAGCCTGGTCACAAGTCTGGAAACTTACTGAGCGCATGTGGGTTTGGGAGGGAGGGGTTGGTCAGCGAGGGCCCGTTGGGGAGGAGGAATGGAACGAATATCTGAGCGAATGTCCGAGGCTGCTCCGGCAGACCAGAGGCGGGAGAGCCGCGACTCCTCTGGAAAGGCAGGCTTTTCTCGCAGGGACCCCACGCTCTTACGTGCAGAGCGTGGCTCTCGGAGGCCTGGTGTGAGGGTGGCCTGCAGGTCCTGTGACAGCCAAAGGCAAGAGCAGAACCAGTGCGCAAAGGGAAGAAGAAAGCGAGCACACAGCTCTCCAAGACCCCACTTCTCCAGCCACGCGTCCTGTGCACCCGGAGCAGCGTCCCTTTCCCGGGAGCTCCAGGCCAGTTTCTGCCGCTTACACCATTCATGTCCTCACTTACACAAGAAAAACAGCCAGAAATGAACAAGCAAGGCCCCAGTTCAGTTCAGTTCATTGCAATTTATTAACTTAAAAAAAAAAAAAACAGAAACAAAAAAAGAAACGAAAAATCATTTTCCAAGGAAAATACAAACACTTCGGGTGGTTGCCCAGCCTTGCTTCCCTGTAGGCTGTTCTCAAGCCAATCAAATGAGCGCAAACGAACTTTGACTGGAGCCGTAAAGCGTGTTGCACCAATTAAATTACACCAATATATTATTATAATACCTTTGAAATGCCTTTCAGACCAATAAATAAAAAAGACAGATTCAAATTAAAAAGTCAACTTTTTATTACCAAAAAAAATAAAAATTAAATAAAAGTCACAACACGGATTTTAAAAAAACAAAATGTGCAGTCAAGTTTCTCTTTCTCTTTTCCCCCAGGAATGATACCGTGCCAGTAAATCCCTACAGAACGTTTCCAGTTTGGCAGCAAGCAGTCAGCCATTCACATTTGTACTCAAGACAGCAGGCCTGGGCAGAGTGCGCCTGAATTCCACCCTGCACGGTGCTGCTCACCACCGTGGCCATCAGAGGAGGCAGCCCGGTCATAGGGAAGGAAATTCAGAGGGTACTTAGCATGTTCGTGTCACCTGGGGTCCCAAGCACTTCCTGAAAACTGATCGTGCGTTAACATTTACCTGTAAAAGACATTAATTCTACCCCTTTGGCAGATGTGTAAACTAAGACGCTGAAAGGCCCCCGGAGGCCGGGCAAGGCCCCGACAGCCCACACGGAATCTCCTGCCCAGTCCACCAGGTGGTCAGAGAGTCTCTCACTCATAATTCCACGGAAATGATTCAAGCATAATCTCTTTGGCTGGGGATTGGCTGGTAGGGAGACAGGGCTTAGGAAGGAAGCAGCAGAGAGGCAGCTGGGAAGGGCTGTTCCCTCCGTTCCCAGTTTTTCCTGGAAAGCACTTTCAACGTCACATCTTAAAGCAAAGCAATGTCAGCGGAAAGTCAGAGCTGAGCAGGGCCAGAGACCAGCGATAGGAAAACAGCCCCCAAAGGCCGCAGGCGCCTGGGCCCTCAGCGCCCTCACAGCAGACCAGGGCTCCTCTCTGAATCTGTCTTCACCACGGTCTGTGGAGTTTAGTGACAAAGGTGGATGTCCGGTGTTTGGGTGGAGAGAGGAGAGAGCAGTTTTCCTTAAGCGTCAATCTAGACACTACAGAGTAGAAGGGTGGGAAGGGCAGCAGGCGCAGTCACTTGGCAATGGGAAGCCACCAGCCAGGAGGGGTGACACCCAAGTCCCTGAATACCTGTGGATGGGCCAGACATGGCGGTGCTGGCTGCTCAAGGAGACTGGGGCGGCCAGGCCAGGAGTAGAGGGCTCCCCGAGGCCACGGCACCCTCCACAGCCCCCTTGGCCCCAGCGCAATCTGGTCTCTATAGATTCCGCTCCCTTTTAGCCTCTCGAGTTAAGGAAGGAGTGGAACCGAATGCAGGAAACTGAGCAGCCTCCCATAAAACACTGCTCGGCTCAAGCTGAGGAAGCAGGAACACTGGGTGTGGCAGCGAGGGGACAGGGACAGGGACATCTTCTGCAGGAAGGGGTGACCGTACCCTTCACACGTTCCAAGCGCCGGAAGAGGTCTGCTTTTCCAAAGGCTTCCCAAGGCCAGTCCTCCAGTCAGAACCGGCCCCTTGGCATAAGGCTTTCAACTTGTGCAAGCCAGCGGTGTGGAGTCATCCCAGGGGCGGCATCCTCGAGGAAGCGACGTCATCTCTAACGGGGTTTCAGACACCGCATACCTGGCTTAAATGCTCAGAGCCCTGTCACACTTCCTTCCTGCCTCCCCCAGAACACACGGCCAACTTCTAAGGAAATGCTCCTCTCCTCCCTGCTTCTCCCAGTTCACTGCTGCCCTTCTGACACCCGGCTCGCGGGACAGACGGAGCGTTCCTCCTTCCCATACCCACAGCTGTGATCTAGAATCCTCGGCTTTGGGGCCACAGCACCTTCTCTCTGACGTTCCTCACCCACCTGCGAGCTAACCCCCTCCAGCGGACTTGTACACCTCTGCAAGCCCACGCCCGGTAGACTGGGAAGGCGTTAGACAGCAGTGAACTGGGCCAAGGTTGAGCCCGCTGCTCCTGGAGACCATGCGCAGTGCCACACCCCAACTCCGATCAGGTACAGGTGCGGACCTGGGGGCAGCCTCCAGTTAACGCTGAAACACTACAGAAAGCGCAGGCTTGCTGCACATCAACATCCTCTCAGCTGTGCAAGCACCATACAGGGGCGTGTGCACTGCCACGTGCAACAGCTTTCACTGTCATCAGGTCCCCTCTCCACCCTCAGGAGGCTGTGCTTTAGAGGAAGGCAGATGTCAGGAAAGAGGAGGCGGAAGACAGCAAGGAGCCAAAAGCTCACCCTGGGCTGACTGGGTGTCCCTGGCAGAGTTTAGGGCACGCTTTCTCCCACTGACTGTGTCTGCCATTCAAATGCCACCCTAGTGGCAGAAAGAGTTAACACAGATCCCACAGACTTTCACCTGATGCCCAGGGCTGAGCTGCGTCACAGATGACAAGGCCATGGCATGAGTGCCCTTGCCTCCCTTCCCAATCCCGTGGCAGCCATTGCTACTCAATCACAGCACTCTCTGACGGGCCTGGGCTCCAACTAGCCCTGCAAGAGCCAGGAGCAATCGAGCGCCAATTCAAGCTCAGGCTGCTGAAATCATCTTGTGAGCTCCACGCAGCCAGGCCAAGGTTGCTAACGAGGAGGGAGAAGGAGAAACCTCTCGTGGCTCATCCAAAGCAGATGGCCCAGTCTCTCTATCCTCTCCTCCCGAGGCCTGTGGATGACTTCCAGGGAGATGCCCCTCCCCACAAGCCCCTTCCCGGCTAAGTGCTGGCCATCACCACCTTGCCAGTCCTCTACCGGGTATCTGATGCGATGCCAATCAGGACCCAAGTTCCGACTGGCAGCTGGCAGACCCAGCAGGGCCTGCTTCCCCTGGTCAGTGCTGGCTCCCGCACCACACTCAGCAGAGCCAGATGGCCCAGTCCCCTCTCAGGCTTCACAGCCAGCACAGAGGTGACAGCCTGTGAGCTCGACTCCTGCACCCGTCCCCGCGCCCCATGGGGCTAGTTGAGCTTGCTGCAGATCTCCAGGGCCTTCTTGTACACCTGAGTCACGTCATCCATGTCCGTGAGGAGGGAGAAGCTGCTGTCCGCCAGCCGGTTCCGATACCGCTTCAGGTACTGGGGCCGCGGCCGGTTGTGGAGCCCCTCGAAGTCCTGGATCTGGAGGAAGTTCTCGGCTGAGACGCAGCTGCGGAGGCGCTGGCAGGCGGGCCGGTGCTCCTGCAGGTCCAGCAGGTCGAAGGAGTCGCTGGACAGCACGCCGTCATCGCTGACC